CATTAAAACCAAAACCTTAATTTTAAACTTACCATATGCATTATGCACAGAACAAAAGAGGCACCAAGCAAGGCCAGAACTACACGCGCATCTGCTCATCAAATGGGCTTTATTTTGTAGTTGCCCCTCCCCCCATGCTTCTAAAACTGCCTGCACTCCTCTAGGAGGGTTTCCCATCAGGCAGTGGGACAGGCTGCAGGAGACACGGTCCTGTTGAAACAGGAAGGTCTTCCCCAGACGGTTGCAACACATTTGGAAAAACCTAGAGTTTGGCTTCAGCTGCATTCAGCTGCTCAAGAGCCAATCATTTCCTCTAGCAAACCACCAGAGTCTCAGTGAGACTCCAACATCAATTCCAAAACATAAATGACGAGCAGCTGCCTGTGGATGCCCCGCGTTTCACTGCTACGAGAGCAACTGGAAGCAGTGGAATGGAGGAAACATTCAGAAAATACAACTAAAAAGAAAAAATTACTTGAGATTAATTGTATTTTCTTTTTATGGTAATGGCCTATGTAAACAAGAACAGAAATTGACCAATATTGTTATTGTTTTGTTTTTGCTAAACCATTACTGATTATTTTTTAATTGTTTAAAAAACAATATTCAGGGCTATTTTATTATTATTAATATTACTATTATTAATAGAAACAATGTTTTAGACGTATATATTGCAAACATTTAATATTATTATGAACAAAATAATGATTATTATTATAATTAACAATATTAATAACAATGATCAATTAATATCATTTAGTAATAAACTCAGAGTCATTTTTATATTATGTACATTACATTTATTATTAATAGTAATAGTAGTATTATGCAATATGCAATTGTAATTATTATTATTATTATTATTATTATGCACACAAAAAATGAATGAATATTGTTATTTACATTTAGAGACTTATTTGGAGAATACACACTTCTAGTTAATTTTTTTGAATGAACCTTTAGCATTCAAGAACATCAAGTACAATTTTATATAAACAGTATGACTAAGAATTTGCAGAATAATCCACTAATTCTACAGGTGGTTCTGGCAGGCGGTAATCTATAATTGATGGACACAATAACATAATATTTAGGCCATAATTACACAACAACAAATAAAAAAGGACTATACATTGTGCAACACAATTATAGATGTGCATGAGTAGACAGAGCTTTCATCCACACAGTCTTTGGACTACACATATAAACCAGTATAGCTCAAACTTGATTGATATTCCCAACCAAACAGATCCTGACCAGTTCTCTCTCTCTATTTCAATATCTATCTATCTATCTATCTAGTTTGGGTGACTCATCATGGTGCCTTATTGACTGACTAGACAACAGTGTAATAATGAAACAAAACCAGGAAAAGTGCTACTGTGAATACAGCTACTTGTTATTACACAAACATTTATCCAAGTAAAAATGAAAGACAACAGGAACAAATGTACAGCAAAAGCATCAAATTATGTTGAACTGTCAACTCATTTAAAGTTAATCTCAGGACAAGCTTCATCATGTCTGTTAATTTATTAAAGGTAAATATATAAATATAGGTCTCCTATGTGAAATCTCACTCCCAGATTACAGCCACAGCTCAATGTTTCTGCAGCACCAGCTGCTCCAATAAAAGACCACAGCAATTTAAACCAACAAATCTGACAGTCTTGTCATAAACGTGAGCGATTTCAACTGTAATCCCTTCTCGGAATCTACTGTTATGAAGCTAGAATCTTGTCAACAAACACAGAACTTTAAATTTACTTTTGGTTTTTGATTTGTGCACGTTTTGGATATCAACTGCTAAAGCTAACTGAATCCTAGCAGCATTTCATTCATTCAATCATTCATTCATTAATTCAATCTTAGCAGTCATAAGGACTCTTTCAAACTCAAACTGCATGTTTTTTTTTTTTAAATAAAGCCTCAATTTTGTTTTCAAATATATAAAATACAATTATTTTCTATAACAATAACTGTTTAGATATGAGTTATTGAACGTTTTTGTTTATAAAAGACTGATAATTTTATTCTGTTCTTTAGAAACACATGAGCATTATAAATGCTTGTAATATTTGTGTATGATATTACTAATCTCACTATGACTTCAATCATTTCATATATGCTTTAACAAACCTTTATATTCAAAGATAATTAACAGTAAACAAGCACCGAAACTAATTTCATATTTGCCTTAGTAAATGAAAATTATACTGAGCTGCAGGTAAAACCCTTATGAATAATAGTTATGAATTTTTGGATGCCAGCATTATTCAGTACAAGAGTGTATTGTTTGCTCTTTATTTTGACAGATTCTCAAAGGTTTGCTATAATTAGATATTGTGGATCTCATTAATAAAACTATTCTGATGTCTAGTAAGTTCAGTTTTAGGAAGGGAGTATTGTTTATTCTGATGAATAGTTAATCTGGTTTACTATCTAATCTAGATGGTTATGATATTGTTTACTGAGCTAAATGCTAAATAAGAGGAGAGTTTTTGTTTATTCTCACAAATGGCTAATGAGAACTGCTTAAAATGACCATTGTTTATACTCTAATGGCTATTAAGTTTTGTTCGAATATGAGAGTATTGTTCATTCTGATTTCTAGTTCATATGGATTGTTCTGATATGATTTTGTGTACTCTGACAGATGCTGGAAACGGTTTTACTCTAAAATCACAGCATTGTTTACTCTAATGGAAGGTGAATGAGGTTTACTCTGAGAGGACAGTATTGTTTACTCTGGTCTGCGGAGCTGCAGGCCTGTATGACTCTTATCACCGGGCTTCAGGTTCAGCTGCACACCTGCATCTCCAGATGAACCCCCCTGGACCGGCTGAGTCCGTTTAAACGGCCCGTTTTGGCCTTTCGTTCGCGAACCATCCGAACCGCGGATTCGCCTGCGGGCCCGCACCAAGCTAACGCGTATGCTAACGCGAAGCGAGGGCTGCACAACACCGATAACCTTTCGGAAAGTCCGAAGCAGTCCCACCCCGAGAACGGGCTACTGTGCTTCCCCGCTCGGAACCAGCGAAACGGGCCCGGCGCATTTACCTGAGGCTCTGTTGTTGAAAGGTGAAGGTGGGGGGTTCGGGCTCGCTGTGTCCCTCTCACAACAATAATCCGGGTCGCACCGCTTCCTCTCACTGCGAACATGAAGACGGACTTGAGGCGGTCATTCCTCTCGTAGGCGTCCGCGGAAGCTCGCACTTTACTCCGGACGATGGCAGAAAAAGATTCGGTGCCGAAAGGCTCCTTGGCGCTCATAAAAGAATCCACACAGACTCCCTCTCTCTCGCAGAACAAAATGCCGACCGGAAGCACTGCTGCAGGAATGACTCCCTCCACCGGCGCCGAACCAACCAGCAGCGACCCGCCGACTTCCGCTGCCTGCTCTCCTCCCCTTCCCTCCTTCTTCCATCCGACGCTTCCCGTCCTCTCCTCTATCGTCCTCCACTCTGTTTTCTTCTCCCTCCTCTCTTCTTTTCTCCTCATTCACGCTTTTGCTTTCTAGTATTCATTAAATGTGTATAAATAACGTGAAGGCTTATTAGAAAATTATCTTTTTTCATTTGAGGCAAGACGCTTCAGCAAAACCATTGTTTTTTAACGCAGTCAGTTTTGGGGTTTTGTGATCTTTTGCTTTCATAATAATCAGACCAGCGGAAAGAAAACATCCAAAATACACTTAAAAGTGTTTAATTTATTACATTCGATTTGTTTGCGTCTGTAGATTTCGATTACAATACAATAAAGGACGTTCTCTCCCTTTTTTTTCATGCATTGAGCCAGACATCACTTCAGTAGCATTTACATACAGAAGTTTTTTTAACATATGAATTTGTTCATATATCATTCTCCTGATTTATATAAACATTGTTTTTATTTTTTTTTAATTAAAAATTAACCTGGGCTTAAGTAAATTTCAGACTTAACAGAAAACTTTTAATGCAAAATTGAATTTATTAATGTACTGCAGTTGTTCGACTGGGGATGTATGGTGATAACTAGTAATTTTTTTAACCCTATGCACCTGTGGTGTCTTGCGTTGGCTTTTAAAGTTACTATCAAAAAATTGGTTGACTTAAAATAATTGATTAAAATAAGAATGTTTTTTTTTATTAACAATAATATTGAACCAATGTTTTTGTTCATATACTATACGCATCTGGATGTCAGCTCAACTGCGCCCTCTCACGGTACTACACTAAAAATGCCGTTATGTTAATAATGGGGGATAATTGTCACACTTCTTAAACCAGTAAATATGACTTCTGTAACTTCGGTATAGGCACATACTTTAAACTCGTAACTATTAAACATTTGCACCTGGAAAAACGATGCATTTCACTGAACACCTACTGACCTTTTGTGACAACATACCCCAACGTCAAGACATACTGTCATACCGAATGGGACAAACTGTCAATATGGAACCTGCAACTAAATAACATTTACATGCTTTGTGGCACAATAAAACAGTAAAACGATTATTGAACAGCAAAACTGTAAAAAGGAAATGCACAAAAAATGAAAAGCCACTGGCCAACAATTAAGATAAATGTATGCATTTATATTGGAATTTCAATCTTGAGGACAGAATCCTCAATATATTCTAATAAAGGAGGGTTTTGAAATAGATACAGAAAACAAGCATTTGTGTAATTGGACATTTAACTCAAATATGTGCATTAACTTTGTTTGAATGTAGTGCTTTTGTTTGTCTGAAGAAAATCATTGACCACTAGATGGCAGCATAAGTCCATTTAGAATGATCCACTAGGCAAGAAATGTATTTTTTTTATGGTGTGAAGTATAAGTATAGGCATACGTTTAAGTAGGTACAAGTATAAGTCTGTCTTGGCCTTTTTAATAAATATATTTAAATATATTAATTATATCCCTTATATTTATTAGGCTAATTCTCCAATCTCATAGCAGAGTTTGTTGAAAACTACTCATCTAGCATCAGTAAAACAAAAATTTCCACGCAATGCATCGCCACTCTCCATTTTATTCAAAACTATATTTAACACACAACATCCGTATGCTCTTTATTCTATAGTTCTAATCACCCATTTTACTTTTTATGGACTTGACAGGAAATATACAGCAACATGAAAAAAACTAAGCATTTTTTTTTAAAGGCAAACAAATAAAAGATCACAGTTTCCAGCTGAGTACATGTGAGTCCAACCTGTGTCTATAGCATGTTTTCAAAAGATTTACAGTTTTCAGAATGACTCAGTTCTGTATGTCATTGCAACCGTAGGACTGTAAACATTCAGTCCAATTTCCTACAATAATCAGTAGCAGCTACATATTTCTATTTATCGTTAATGTTAGCAAATGGCAATAAAAAGGGTCAGTGGATGAACTACAGCAGAATAAAAAAATCTCATAAACGCATAAGTATGTGTGTGTTCAGTTAGGATTAGTTGTGCGGAGCTGCTGAGAAAACTCAAATATCTGCTGTAATAGCTGCTGAAACACTCAGTCTTCTCATACATAAAGATGTGTAAAGCAGCTTTCAAAGCTAAACATAATTTTCTCTTGATATTTACAGTTTGACATATTTTATACTCCATTTTTAGATGATCACTTTATACACAGAGCCCAACAGTATTTAATCTTGGAATCCTGCCCATGTCATACTCAACTTGTTCATTAAACAAAGTGTAATGAACTTCTGTCTGTTCATCAAATGAATAATTTACTGACATTCATTTCTGCTTAAAAATCAGTTCTGTGTACAGTCATGACCCTGTTCATTTTGACACTCTTAAGGTTTAAATCTTGCTGCTTGTATTATAGCGCATGTAACAAACGCTGGTCACAACATACCAATGCCTTCCACATAGATTCACATTTCAGCTAATTATTAAAATAATGAAAAAGCAATACAAAAAATGATTATTATATATTTTTGTCAAGGTAAAACTCTCCTGCCAAATCAATTTAACAATCGGTATGACCTGCAGACAGGAGACAAAAGCACAAGAACCAAATTACAGTAAAAGGTCAAAAGAAGTTTGAAAAAGAAATATTCAAAAACAAAACTAAATATACATATACAACGCCCCCTAAAATATTTGGACACTTAATAAACACTTCAAAAACTTATGAATTTTATTGCATAGATCGCTAAATATCAAACCAAGCAGCAACTTGGGGCTTTTCTCAAAACTGACTTCACTTTTTTAGTCATTTTTGTGAATGCATGAAGTTAAGTGTAGTTCATATCCATAATTATGAACATTATTCTAAGTTTGACAACCAGAAAGTGTCCAAATGCTTAAATACCATGCTTATACTATATTTCTTTGAAATAAATGCCATTTAGTTTGATATTTTCTCATTAAAAAGCAATGAACTTCTTATATTTTTAAGTGCATCTTAAGTGTTCATATATTTTTAGGGCCACTGTACATATACAAACGCAAACACACACAAAATCCTTGGTTGGGGGTTGATTATGCATCCTCTACATCTTGGTCTCACTGTCTGGTGGTTTCTCATTCTCATATTCGTTCTCCTGAGGGATCATCTGATAAGGTTTCTTCACTTCATTCTCCTCCAGCACTGAGCTCCCCAACTCCACATCGGCGTTCTGAAGCTCATCTTTGGACAGGAACTCTATGATTCCAGCTCCTATAGAATCTCCCAGGACGTTAGTTGTTGTGCGAAGTCGATCACTGTAAGTGCAAAAGAAAAGGGAATAAAAGAGGAAATGAAGAATCGATTTATTGCGATCAGCGATACTTGTTTAGTTGTAAAAAAAAAAAAAGTTTCCTACTTTCATCTCAGTTTTCATCCTAGTTTTAAAAGAGGCTCTTTTAGCTGTGTAACTTGTGGGGATCTATCTGGAATGATTAATTTGGCCAACCTAATTACGTTTCTATGTTAAAACCAATTGAATTACATGAAAAAAAAAATGGAGCAAGTCTCATGGGAACACATCAAAGTGTGTCACCTGGGTTGATAATGGGAAAAAAAAAAATGAAGGGAGTCCCAAATGAGAGGAAAGATAAAGTGCCAAACGCAGTCACTTTTCATTCTTGTTTTGCCTTATTTTGCAAAATACTTCAATAAATATATTTCTGTACCACTATTTCCTTTTAAACCAAATCATATTGAGATTCTACAAACGGTCACTCACAGGAACCAATCAACTGCAATGATGAGGGTGATGTCATCGGTTGGGAGTCCGACAGAGGTCAGCACAATCACCATGGTGACCAGACCAGCCTGAGGGATTCCGGCCGCCCCGATACTTGCAGCAGTCGCTGTGATGCTGTATTATTAAAGAGAATACTAATCACGCTCAGAAACGTCATTCAGTTTTCTTAATGAATTATTTATATTTCAAAATAACCCACCTAATGGTTATGATCTGCCCAAAGTTCATATCCATGTTGTTAACCTGGGCGATAAAGATGGCTGCCAGGGCTTCATACAGCGCTGTTCCATCCATGTTGATTGTGGCTCCAACAGGCAGCACGAATCGAGTCACGCGTTTGTCGACTTTGTTATTCTCCTCAAGGCATTTGAATGTAACCGGAAGAGTGGCTGAGCTGGGAGATGTAAAACAAATATGAAAAAGTGAAATGAGAGTAAAATATTCCTGATTTAGACAGCTTGACATTGTCGGACTTACCTGGAAGAGGTACCAAGAGCCGTGATGAGGGCCTGCAGCAAACCCATGATGAAGATGAAGGGGTTCTTCCGCGTGATGACGAAGTACAAAGTCGGCAGAATGATCATGCCGTGTATCATGAGGCCGATTATCACTGTAATCGTATACATGCCGAGCTGACCGCCCATTTCAGTGATGTCATCCATCTCCACGATTTTTCCAGCAATCAGAAAGAGGATACCAATAGGTGCATACCTGGGAATAGGGTATGGTGTTTAAAGATACATTTACATTCATTCAAGTTTGTTAATTCGGTTTTATTTAAAACCAGACTACCAAAGAGTGGAAAAGAAACTGATTCAGATTCAGAAGCAGCACTTGTTAATAACGGTTCCCAAAATGTCAATGAGCTACACATGTGATGAAAAAGGGGTCATGAAAAAGGGTCACACAAAATGAGAGCACAGGGCACATTTCTGTTCAGACAAACGGGAAATTCATCTATTTTTATAGTAAGGTGAAATTATGACGAGGCGTTTCTGTGGTGAATTATAATGAATGTCTTTTTGTAAGTTACTTACATGACAAGCAACGAAAATGTAGTTATTCTTCTTGAGGATGATTGTTGTTATTCGAAACAAAACAAGTCATCCTCATGAATGAAATTCCAATAAATAAATACCAATAAATTCTAAAAAAAATATTTATTATGGTTTTGAAATGATAATGGTTAATATTTTACATATACACTATCATTCAAAAGTTTAAAGTCTAAGATTTTTTAATGTTAATGAAAGAAACTCACCAAGGTTGAATTTATCTGATAAAAATACAGTAAAAACAGTAATATCGTGGAATAATGTTACAGTTTAAAAACAACCATTTTCTATTTGAATATGTGTTGAAATTTAATTTATTCCTGTGATGGTAAAGCTGAATTTTCAGCATAATTACTCCAGTTTACAGTGTCACATGACCCTTCAGAGATCATTATAATATGTGACTCTGGACCACAAAACCAGTCATAAGGGTCCATTTTTTTCTGAATAAATAAACTTTCCATTAGAGTATGGTTTGTTAGGATAGGACAATATTTGGCCGAGATACAACTATGTGAAAATCTGGAAGCTGAGAGTGCAAAAAAATTGCAAAATTGCAAATCTTTGCAATGCATATTACTAATCAAAAATTAAGTTTTGATATATTTACGTTAGGAAATTTACAAAATATCTTCATGGAACATGATCTCTACTTAATATCCCAATGATTTTTGGCATAAAAGAAAAATCAATAATTTTGACCCATAAAATGTATTGTTGGCTAGTGCTGCAAATATACCCCAGCGACTTAAGACTGGTTTTGTGCTCCAGGGTTACATATGCTGACTGGCTGCTCAAGAAATATTCCTTATTATTATCAATGTTGAAAACAGTTGTTCTGCTTAATATTTTTGAGGAAACCATGATACATTTCAGGAAAATATGTTTCAATATAGTATTTTTCATTTTATTCGTTAATAGCAGAATTAAAAGCTAAATCGATTTAGGAAACACTTGATAAAATGTTACGCTCACTCTTGAAGTTTATTGTAAACTCATAAGTTTAAATTAAGGAACGGATATTGGAAAACCCGCCTTAGGCTACATCAACACAGTTTTTAATCTAGTTTACTTTTTAAACACTGTTTGTGTGTCTGGAATCACTCACCACATAATAATAGCAACAAGTCGCATGATGGCCTCGTTGAGGGAGTCGAAGAAGTCTCTGAGAGCCTGTCCCTGTTCCTTCATATTCCCAATGATCAAGCCGAAGCACATTGAAAACACCACCAGCCCGAGGGCATTAACCCCGTTGGTGGTGCCCGGGAGAGGGATCACTTCCTCTTGGGCAATCTCCTGGGTGACGTTAGTTAGGTTGAATATCGAATCGTTTACGATCATCTTCACGTGAATGACCCTCTTGCCATATTGGGTCTTAAACTACAGGAGGAAGAAGAGAAGTAGTTTTAAAAATGAGCAAGAATCTGATCGTTTTGGATTGCTAGAATACTTCTACAGAAAGACTCTTTTCAATATTTGTGAAATATGTTTTATTTTTATTTTTTTAGATCTGGTTGACTGCAGGGTGTCCCTGCGGAGTGTGTCCGGACAGACTGTGAGCCACTGTCAGGCTCTTCAGTGTCATTATCTTGCCATTTCTGACCCATTATATCTGACTGTGGCACCATTACAGCTCTGCCAAAGCTCTCAGCCGGTCCAAACACAGCTGTGGGTCGAACTCTAGCCAGACTCTCAAAATGCTAAATGGAAAATGTCTATTCCTTACACGCTAAGTTAACTAGCTTGGGCCAGCAGGAGGAGAAATGAAACGTTGTCAAGACTTGTGAGCAGTATTGGTATAATTATAAATTCAAGGCCTCCCAGAAAAACATTTTGGATCCAAGAGTGATACATTTAAAGTTTTTGTCCTTTGAGATGTCAACAAGTCTTATCAAATCTAATGATAAATTTACTTCCTGCTGAACAGGGAAACATTAGAATTTCACCCCAAACTGCTCATGAACTTCATAACCTGAAGCATCTATGACATATACAGTATATCTAAATATTATATATCTATGACCACTTATTCTACGCCATGCACATAGATTCTATTCTATGAGAGTCTTTATTCAATATTTTATTCAATAATTTTTTTTTCAATTAATAATTGGCAATTAAGTGGTTAATAATTAAGGAATAACCCAATAAAACAAACTTTAACTTCTGCTATGGTGCACGCACCTCACATTTTTGTAAATCTTTACCCTCAGAAAAATAAAAAATGTAATTCACATCTGTTGGTGAGTACATTTACTTTTAAAGCTTTTTTTGTCACAATTTAGTTACATGAAAATAAAATGTATACATTATTTTATATAAAATTGATGTGTTTTTTTTTCTTTTTCTCTTTTTGAAATATTTTTATTTTATTTTATTTTATCTTGTTTATTTTGCGAAGAAACAACATTGTGTTACAGGGAAATACCTTTTTGAATACCTTTTTAATAATTAAATTAAATTAAATTTTTATTTTATTTTAGTAATGAAGATTTTAGCCAAGAAAATGCTGTTCTTTTTTTTTACCATTGCTTTCATAATGTGTGCAACAGAGAGAGATATTATTTAATAAATCTTTATGATTATCTAAGATGGTATTTTAAAAAAACAATTTTGAATAATAGGATCATGTGAAAAACATTCTCACCTGTTGAGTGCAGGCCTGAACCAGATTAGGAGGAAACATGTTTCTGCAAAAGAGTGTATATAATGAATAAAGTCACTGGTTCATATCAGTATTTCGGAGAAACCGATGGACTACACCTGTCCATTACCTGATGAGGTCGAGGAAGGCATCGGCTGGGCTGACCTGCTCGATCTTCTGCTGTTTAGTGAATTCATCCTTTGAGCCTTTGCCCGGGTGGATAATCAGAACCATAATGATGCCGATGAACACTGCGATGAAAGTGGTGGTCATATAGTATATGACTGCACGCATGCCCATCTTTCCAGAGGCGCGACGGTCCAATGCTGCCATGCCTAGACCGAAAGAATTAGAATTTAGCATTTTTTTCTATGAGAATGAACCCAAATCACATTTGAATAAACACTTGGTTACGCATGCCATCATTGCTGAAAAGACCAGGGGGCTGCGTTTCCCAAAAACATCGTAAGTTGATCGTAGCTCCATTGGTTTCAATGGGTCTATGATGTACTTAAGCTTACGATGCTTTTGGGAAACGCAGCCCAGGTCTTGTACCAAGACTTAAATGCAAAAATCTCACCAGAATTTGTACAGACATGAAGATATGTGGTGGTTGTGAAAGACAAAAGATTCATGACTTAATCTTCACTTAGCTGAAAAGTACTATATCGCTTGACTTTAAAAGTCTCTTAGGATTAATTGCAATCATTTTAGAAGTCAATGGAGCAAAAAGACTTTGACTTGCCAAAACAAATTAAGGTTTGAATTTGGAACAAGTCAGGGGCCTTTCTGCAGCCCTGATCCCCAGAGCAGAAAGAGAAAGCAGCCATTGTTTGGTCCTCTCGTCCTCCTGGGGGCCCAAACTTCAGCATCTTTTAAAGTTCAGCCTCTCACTTCACAATTTCCTCTGTTCATACTCCATCTCTCGCAACCATACTCTCTCACTCTCTTGATCTGCATTCGTTCATCTCTTTCACTCTCGGACAGGCCTGGGAAATTCCTCCACCTGCCCGTGTTTCAGCGGTCATGCCACCCTCTCTATGTCTCCACAGCAACAGCAAACAGTCTCCCAATGCACTTGTATCAAACTAAAGAAATGACTCATGTTGTGCAGTTACAAAGAAGTGAATAAACAAAACAGCCCCCTCTCACACCCAAGTGTGCCACAATTACCGAATAAAATGCCCAACAAATAACAACAATAATATCTATTTTGTTATTTATTTTATTTTATATTTAATTTAATTCAATTTAAATAATAATAATTATTATTATTATTACTAACCAATCAGAGTTTGTGGTATATTTAAAACATGGAGTCTGAAGGAAGTTCTCTCATTCCTTTATGTGTATGAAGTGAAGCAGCAGGGGTACAACCTCTGCCTCATTCTCACTGCCACTTTTAATAGAAGCACAAAGAGGTCACTGTCTACAAACCAGAAAATGGTGCCCAGCGTAATGCTATGCTTCACAGAGGCACAGCTGTAACACCTGTTTCCTTGAAAGTTGCTACTACTTTTGAGTGTTTGATGAGATCTGAACAAAAAAAACAAGGTGACTTCATTGCTGTTCTATCAGCTCCATGTTAACTCTTCCCCTCCAGCATTTTTTAAAAAAGTTGCCAGCCACCGCAAGAGATTTTGATGATTTTCACCAAAATTTGATGGCCTCCAGTATATTTTGCTGCATGAATATTTGAATATGCAATACACCAAAATAAAGATCAGAGCCTCTACTTTTAAACAAAAAAAATCAGTTTTATTCTAGCTTAATATAGAATATTCTAGCTTGAATATAGGTAGGTTTCATAAAAAATGCAAGGTGAGAACATCACATTTTTATCAAAAACTACATCGGGATAATATTCAGTACGATTATCAAAGCATAAATCCAGTAAATCGCTTCCATCAATACCTCCAAAGCTTGCACAGACATATACCACTTCCTGGACCAAAATTTTACTCTGTAACATTATGCAGTTTTCATTTATATGCCGTCTATTGCTGATGATCGCATTATTTTTCATATGCATCTGTGTTTACATAAGAGATCGCTGGTTTCTCCGTCCTGTTCAGGTGTGTTTTTGTTCGGGAGGTTTTGTACCCGTTCAGAAGATGCGTAATAGCGCCCCCGAGCGTATAACAGTGAAAACACGAAAAGCCGCAAAAACTCGTCTTTGGCGGGGAAGCGTTTTCTTGTAAAAGACGAGATAACTCATCAATGGCGGGGAAAGAGTTAAGTCTTTTTGTGTCACTAATTGTCTTATACCTATACATTGACTTTATGCATTGAATTCTGAGGCCCTTTAAATCTTGAGCTGCTTTGTGTCATTAATTGGCCACTAATTTCCTTCCTTTCCATGCTTCTTTTTATCCCTTTTCTCCTTCACATCCTATAGAATTAGTTTAAAAGTCCAGCCACTCCCTCAATTTCAAATTCACGTCATTCTAACATTCTCATTCTATTAATGACTTGATTTTACTATGTCCTCACATCACTGTTTTGCCTTTTCATTATAAGCAGGTCTGTCAATTAAATTCTCAGGGCCTGGGACAACATTTTTATAGATGGATCCCATCAGCCCAAACTCAAAGAGCAGCTAGACTATTGAGGATTTCATTAATCATTTGGCCTGGGACAATGCCCCAGTTGCTCCACCCCTTTTTCTTCTATACTTTCCATAAAGAGTTAAGATTTTCAGTTAAGACTTATGACTTAAGTTCCCAGTTATTGCTGTAGATTGCTGTAACATATTTAATTTAAAATCTGCAGTCAAACTGTTGCATGACACATTTCTGGCTAAAATTTTTTTTATCAAAACAATAAAATATCGTACCTGTAATCAAACTTGAGACTAGAAGTGGAAGCACTAGCATCTGCAGCATACGCATCAATAGCTCACCAGGAAAGGAGAAATACTTCACTTCTCTGTATGACATTTTATATGGCCTCAAAACAAAACCCAGCATGATACCTGGAAAAAAAAAAAGCATTTCAGATGCACAGATCTGTTGAAAACTCTTTTCTGTCATAAATCAAAAGGCATTCATTGTCAAAAGAATTTTTGGCTTTACAGCAAACTGGTGGTTGGTTGTACAGTAGATTTGTGTCCTTGACCAAGACACTAACTTCAGGTTAGATGTCTTCTTTAGATGGTTAGAGCAAACTTTCATACTTGAAAACTTCCTGAACTAAAATAATTTCACTAAACCAGGTGCACTGACCAAAGACCACAGCTCCAATGGTGAGGAGCACAAAAGCATTTCTTCTCAGAAAGCTCTTCACGTCATCTTTAGTGATGTCCTCCACTTTCTTCCTCGCCTTTAGGGAACGCAGGTGAATTCCCTCTCGGATCTGCTGCACGCGATTGCGCGACCGCGGCTTCTCCCCAGTGCTTTTGGTCATGCTGGCGGTGTCACTCAACACACTCCGATCAAACTAGCTGGGCTGAACCGGTGACCCAAAAGAGACCCTACACAAGAAGAAGAAAAAAATGAGACAAACTCTATCTCGCACACCCACTGATCTAAATCCCAAATCCTTGAGTTAAAATGGGAAAGACAGCAAAAAATAATGGAAAACCAAAATGCAACCTAAAAAATATGCAGTAGTGTAATTCATTGGAAATAACTTAATTAATAAGCATAAATAATTCTAAGCATATTTTAAAATATATGATAAATGCAACGACATTCCATGTAAATGGCAGCTTTTTTATTACTGAAATAAATATATTTATAATTTAAACTATATAACATGCAATTAAATTACTGAAATAAAAAAAATTTAATAAATATTTGAAATGATATATGAAATAAAATGTTATGTAAATGAATTTTTTACTAAAAACTAAAAAAAGAAATATATTCATACACACGTTTTAAATATATATGATATGCAATTATATTATGCAAATGAAAGCTTTTTTATTATTATATATTGCATTTTATAGGCAACTAAATTTCATGTAAATTTATTTTTTTTACTCTACAAATGAAAAATGAATTTATAAGACCTACAGTTATTTGCTTTTGTAGCTGAGGTTCATCAATTCAGTGTGAACCACATAAATCTCTCTGTGTATTTAAATTCTACAGAATGCAAATACTGTCATTTATAATTAAATCTGATTTCCAGGTTAATGTTGCTCAGCCAAAAAAATAAAAAATAAAAAATGCTCCATAGCTACAAGTAGCTGAGAGAAGAAGAGCTGCTTACCTGCTTCCAGTGAGCTCTTGTGCTGAGAGATGCCCTGAGTGATCAGAGTTAGCCAGTCTGTGCTGGGAATTGAATAACCTTCCACCAGTAAGAAGCTCCTGATGCTCAGGATCTCAGAAGGGGAGGAGCTAAATAACTCCAAATAGGAGATGCTCAAGACACTTCAAAGGGGGGCCCAGTGGTGGTACAGTACATGAATGATGGAATGGCAGGAGGGTTCTTGCTTGATTCTCACATTAAAATAAATGAAACTGTTAGAATATACCAATTAAAAAACAGTTCAGAAACAGTTCAGTTTCAAAGGCTAATTAACGTCACTCCGATGCTAATTTTGTACAAATGCTGTCAACTTTCCAAGCTTTCTTTGAGGGCACACATGAGGTGAACCCCAGTCGTGTTTCTGTGACATCCAACGCTAAGCGTTCATAACTCGCATCGTGTTTGACATTTAATCCTGAGAGACGGTTTCAATGGTTGAGAACGAACTCGTTCTGTGATTTGGAGGGCGAGAAATAACGCTCTCGGCAGGTCTTTGGACTCTTCAGATGACACTCGTGATGGGACTTCCTGTGGGGTGAGCGTTCTTTCTCACACACACACTCACACTCACACACACACACTCACCTCTCTCCCACAGGCCCCACAAACAGACCTTCCCTCATTCAGTGTGCGAACCGTTCCCGCCCCAGCAGGTGACGTCACCGCCGTGTCATTTACATTTGGAGTGATTTAAACCAATTAAATGGTTTGTCACATCAGGTGACAAAATATTTTGGACATATTTTATCAGGTGTAAAGATTACCTAAAAACCATACTTGAGTAAAAGTACAGATACAGTGAAAATTACTCCACTACACGTTACAAGTCACCAATTCCAAAACAACTTGAGTAGAAGTCTTAGAGTATCTGATTTTAACAGTACTTAAGTATTTTACTTATACTAAAT